CGCATGCCGTAAATACTTTCGTTAATATTTCGAAAAGTGCCGGTTTTATTGCTAGCAATTTTTTGGTAAGGATTTCCGTTAAATTTGGGGCTTTTTAATGTTTTATGCTTTAAAAGGTCCTTTTTACGTCCTTTGCGGTAATTTCTTTACGGACAAGCAAAAATTAGGAAAATGGTTCGGGGTATTCGGGGATATTGGTAATGTTTGCCGTTAATATAAAAAAAAACTTCCCTTTTAAGGCTACTTTTTTTGCTTTTTTTATTACCGTTACCTTTTCGTTTAGTAATTTTAACAACGGGAATAACGAAAAGGAAAAAGGTCGGTAGCTTTTGTATTTTGCTTATTTGGCAATAATTTACATGCTTTTAGCGTTTTGTATAATGCTTGCTTCGTACATTGCGGTACGCTACGTATACTTTTTCGCTATTTTAATAGCGCTTTTCTTTTTTTTAATAGCTTTTTTTATTATTGCGTAATTAATTTCCGAACGGTTTGCTTTTTACGTTAATTCGGCCCGGTATTTATTGCGAAATAGCTAAAAAAAAATTTCCGTCCATTAATTATAACTTTTAGCTTTTTTTTTTAGCTTCGGTACGGTTAGGTTGCGGATTTCCAATATTGCTTTTGTAATGTCGTTTATTTTTTTGTCGATCGTTTGGGGATTAATAAATGGTTGTAACGAAAAGGGAATTTTGTCGTTCGTTAAGGATTTAGCGAATTTTTTATCGATTTTTTTCCAATTCCAATTTTTTAAAATTAATGCGTAAAGGTTCGGAATGGTTCCCAAAATTGTAATTACCATTCCCGTATAATCGTTGTTATTTTAACGCTATTTTAACGGTTGTTAAATCCTTAACTTTCCAGTAGCCCAAATTAAATCGATAATAGTATTTTTGCAATAAGGGGCGGACTTTATCGCCGCGTTTCGGCGAATTATTAATTGCATGCTTTATAGCTTTGCTAAACCGATTAGTTTAAAAACCCCCGCGTGCATTAATGCGTTTTTTAAGCGCTTCGATATCCATGCTTTATAATAAAGGTTAAAATTTTTTATTATTAAGCTATTGCTTTTCGGTTCCTTTTTAACGAGCTTGTCGATAAGTATTATCCAATTTATAATAATCGTACTTTCCGGAAACGGGGAATAAATTAACCAAATCGTTATATTTTTATTTTAAGTACCAATCGTAACTTTGCACCAATCCGGTTTTATTTCGTAATCCAAAATACGTAACGTTAATTTAATATAAATAATCGCTTTGGTAATAAAAGGAAAGGGGGGAACAAGCTATGGTAATGGGGAAAAGGAAAGCGCGTTGCCTTTTTTTTAGCGGTTTTAGGGGGATTTCGGTAAGTTACCGTATGGTTGTTACGGGGTAAAGTTATATATATATTGGATTAGCTTTTTTTTTAACCCACAACGGGGATTTAGCGTTTCCTTTCGAATCCTTTGGTAGCTTTTATATTGCCAATACGTCGAAGCTATTTTTTTTCGCCAATAATACGTTAAATACTTCCGGTTTTTTCGTTACGTTTTATTAAAAAACTTTAAGCATTGGTTTTTTTGTTAAAAAGGTCCTTTTTTGCTTTTGGGGGGGGCGGTAACGTTAACGCTTTTTTTTTATATAGTTAAATGCTAAAGGATTGTATGTTATTGGATAATTGGAAAAGGGTAAGGCTTTTTTGGCTGGCTTTTCCTATTACTTCCCGTAGCGGTAAAGGGGACGCGGGTGTTGCCGGGGAAATGGGTTTCGTTAGGGGGTCCGCGGGGGGGGTGCGGGGGGGAAAAAGCTTTAAAATGCGTAAGCTTTAGTTTTTTACAAATAGCGTAATAATTGCGTTTTTTCGTTTTACCGTATAAAATTTCCTAAACTTTTTTATAAATTGTTCGGCCGATTTTAAAAAAAAAAATTTCCGTTTTATAAATAAAATTGGTTAAAAAAAAGGTAATTTTAACTTTGCGTTAATTTTGTTGCGTATAAGGGTTTTTTCGGTCGGCGAGGTTATATTTTAAATTGTTATTGGTATTTAAAGGAAAATCGCTGCGAAAAGGTTGTTGCTTTTTTTTGTTTAATCGGTTCCTTTTTGCTCCCGTATGGGGGTTGCTTTTTCCCGGGGTAAAAGGGGGGATTTTGCCCGCCCCGTTTCCGGCGGCGATCCGGTTTGCAACGATTTCGAAATGGAAATTGTCGGGATTTTGTAATGGGTAAACTTCGTAAGCCAAGCTTTTTTTTTGCGTTGTTAAGTTTGCTTTCGTACCGGGCAATGTAAAAAGTAAAATGGGTATCCAGCTTTATTGTACGGAATATAAAATGCCCCGAACATATTTTTCGGCAACTTTTTTGCTGTTTTTTTTTTTTTTATACCGTTTATCGTTGTATTTTTTTAATCCATACCACGCATACGCCGTAATTTGTTTGTATTGCATACTTTTATATCCCCAATTTAAATAGCGGTAGCATTGCGCTATAATTAATTCGGGGTTAAAAGGTTAGCATTGGTATGCCAATTTATTTTATCGAAAATAATCCTTTTGCAAATTTATTGCGCTTTTTAAATTTGCAATTTAAAGCAACGCCGTTACTTTTTTTTTATTACCTTTTTTTTTTATAACGAAACGGTAACCCGTTTAATATTTTCATGCGGGTTTTTAGCGTTAAATGCCTTTATTAACTTTAATTAATATTTTGCTTTGCTTTTATCGTCGAAAAAAGGTTGGAATTTGCTGGTTAATAAATTTGTTATTATTAAAGTTATTATTGGTTTAATAACTTTTAAACCGTCCGTTTGTCCGGTTGTATTTTAAACCGCAAAAAGCGCGTATTACGTTTGTAGCCGGTTCGTTGCGGCGGGGTTGCCGTAATTATCCGCAACCCTTTTTATGCTTTCGTTTATATCGTTCGTTTTTAGCCCGGGCCGGCATTTTTTTTCCGTTCGTTAACAAGTGTTAGCATTTTGGAAATGCAAACGAACGTTTTCCAACGGGTATTAATAAACCGTTTTAACCCAACCTTTACCTAATTTTTTATTGCAAATCCGTTTAATTTTTTTGGGTTTTATTTTTTTAATTTTTTATTTTCGATAATAATAAAAATTTTATCGTCGATTGTAAATGTTATTGCTTTTTTGGTTTTTATTGTTTAAGGTGCTTTGGGAACGGTTTGCGCTTTTGCGGTTATTTAAATTTAAGTTTATTTTTTATTTTTTCCGTTTGCGGCCGCAATTTGTTGCGCTTGGTTTTTTTTTTTTAATGTAATTTTAATTTGTTCGAAAGATTGGAAAATTGTTTAGGTTGCATTAAGGTTAATCGCTAAAATTATTAAAGTTGCGGTCGTTTGGTTGGTTATTTTAACGTATCGAACGAATTTTGCAATAATTTCGGCGGCCGTAATTTTTCTTTTTTTTTACTAAACGATTAAAAGTACTTTTTTACGAATTGCATCGTTGTAATAATTAATTGGGTTTTTTTCGGGCTTGCGGTTGGTTTTTGTCGTAATTGCTATTGGTTTGGGTAATTCCCGTCGCGTATTGCGTGCTTCGATTGGTTAAGGCCAATAGCCTTTTTTATCGACGCCGCAACGGCGCTTCGGGGTATTATCGAGCTTGCTTAGCTTTTAAGCAAACTGGCGTTTCCGGTTTTCGTAATGGCTTTAATTTTTTTGTATGTCGTTGTCGTCGTCGCGCGCAAGCAGAAAACGTCTTTTTAAAAAACGCTTATGCAATATATATAATAAAAAGTATAAAAAATAAAAGGGAATTTTGGGAAATTCTGGTTCGAATTAAAATAAAATTTAACGTATTGCTATTAAATTGCAAAATGGCCGTTTTATTTGCTAGCTACCCTTTTACCCATTTTACAATTAGTAAAAGAAAGCCGTACTTTTTTAACATATTTAATAACCGTAAATAATTAATGGTATTAAATGCTTTGGATAAATTAAATTATAGCAATAACGCGATAACGCCATGGTTTTATATTGTAATAATAGCTTTTATAACTTTTTAAATTCCTAATTCCATGCTTTTAACCCGTTGGTTGCCCATTTGGCCGTTGGGAAAAATGCTTTTTTTTTCGCTTTATTAGCAATTCGTTTTGTTATAATTAATTTAATAGCTTTTAAAATTAATAATAGCAAAGCGATAAACTTTTATCCCCCGGTTTATTTCCTTTTTTCGGTAATTTTGCTTGGCTTAAGTAGCATTACCGTAAGGGCCTTTTTAAAGCGTTTCGGAAAATAGCTTATAGCAATTATTGCGTTAGCAAATTTCGCAATAGCGGTTGCGCCCGGCAATTCGGCGGCTTTAAATAGCCCGTTCGGGAAATAATTTTAGCTTGTAACTTTTTATAGTTTAATGCGGCCCGTTGCTTTTATAATATTTTGCGGGGTAACGAATACGGGCATTTGGAAAGGGTTTGGGAAAAAATGGTTTGGAAAATTGGTTTTGTTAATATTAAATGTATTAATTAGCGGGTTTAAAAAAAACTTGGTTAATAAAATTTCGGTTTTTTTTTAATAATTGCGTAACGAGTTCGGGTTTTTTCCAATTTTAATTAAATTTAGCAACCAATTTGGGGTTTTTTTTTAAAAGCTTTTTAAACGGGCCCATTTTTCGAATTTCCAAAATGCGCCGTTTTTTTAGTATTTTATCCCGCTGCGGAAATAACGCTTTTTTAATAATTAGATATTGCTTAACGTTTTTTTTAACAAATGCTTTGTTTGCGGCTTTATACGTTTTCCATATTGCTTGCGTTTTATTTTTGGTAAATGCGCGTTATAAACGGTTCGTTTTTTTGCAAAAGTTATCGAATTTTTATATTTAATAAAAAGCGCGTTTATTAAAAGGGTTTGGTTTTCGTTAAAAAGCAAATTGGTTAGTAAATTTGGTTAATTGTTGCATTAATTTATCCGTTTTTTTATTTATGGTTTTGGTATTATGCATATTTCCGGTTATTATTAATTTGTTAGCCTTTTTGGCTTTGGATTTTGCAAATTCGTTTGTTAATTTAACGTTTTTCCATTTCCAATTTTTGGTTTATTGGAATTAAAATTGCTGCGGTTTAATAAAAACGTGGAATATTTAAAATAAATGGTTAGATTTTTTTATCGTATTGTTTTATTTTAAATATTCCATTTCGAATTATTACGTTACCCAAACGTAATTAATTATGCTATTTCGTTTTTTTCGTTTCCTTTTCGTAATTTTCCCGTAAAGCGTTGCTAATTTAAACCGTTTGCGGCGTGCTAATTTTAAAAAAGTTTCGCTTTTTACGTTATATTTATTATGTAAGTTTTAAATTAAATGGTAAAAGTTAAAATTGCTTGTAAAAATTGTATGCTTTTGTGTTAAATGGGTAACGATTATAATAAAAGGTATTGCTTAATCGAAATTTGCTTTAAAGTTTGGTAAATATATTAAATATATTTTAAATGGGCTTTCCAGCGTAATGATTGTAATTAAAGCCCAATCGTAACCGCACCGGGCGGTTTACAATTTGGGGGTTAAGCGGTTATGCACGTAAAATGCTGCATTGGAATTGGATTTTTAATAATAAATAAATTCGTAATTATAACCATACGGTTTTAATAAATTCCCGTGCTAATTGCGTTTCGGTTTTTAAATAATTATAATATTGTATTATTTGTTGCTATAAAAGGGAAGGTTGCTTTTCCTTTCGCTTTTTTTTATATTTTAATATAATATATTTATTTCCATAAATTGCTATTATTATTAATTGGTTGGCTAAAAGTAAACGTAATTCCGGTTGCAAAAAAGTCGAACGGTGTTAATATAAAGCCGGGCTGGGCTGGTTGGAATGCAAGCGGTTAAAGTAAGGGTAAAGCGGAAGCTTTATAGTTCGGGGCAAAAATAAAGTTAGTATTGGTAGTTGCGGTATTGCTGGATGCTATTGGGTCGTTAACGGTTCGGCTTTCGTTTATTCCCTTTATTTCCTTTATTTTGCTAAAGCCGAAAAAGGCAAAGTTTGGGTTTGTAAAGTACTGGTTTATCGTAAAAGCGGGTTTAAAAAAGCTTAACGTTTTTTTATTGCGGAATTTTCGTAATTTGCTTACCCGCTTTGTAATTAAAAAACTTTCCTTTATTTTCGTTGCTTTTAGCAAAAAACCGTTCCGTTTGCGTTTTATTAGCAACTTTAAATTAAATAGGTTGTTTTTTTCCTATAACGGCTAAAAAATTATTATTATTTATATATATTTATACTTTATTTTATTTATAAGAAAAACCTTAATGCTATTGCTAAGTATTGCGTGGGGAAAACCTTTGGGTTTGGCTTAAAGAGGAAAACCCTGCGCTTACAAACCGGTGCCGGGTCGGTGTTAAACCGCCGGCTCCGTTTACTGTAATTCGTTCGATTGCTAATAAATGCTCCGGCAAGGAAGCGTTTTTGTACCCCCGGCCAGGGGGGTGTAATGGTAAAGTAAAGGTAAGGGCTAATATATGGAAAAATTATAAGGAAAACGTATAAAAAATGTAGCTTTAAAGGAGCGTTATTGCTTTGGGGTAATTTTGGCAATTGCCGTTAATAAGCGAAAGCTTGGCCAACCGGGTGGTTATTGCGTAAAGCTAACGCTTTGCGCTTTCCGGCCCCGCGTTATGCTTTCGGGTGCGGTTTGTATTTAATATGGTATGGTTCGTTTTTTATTGTTATTTTTTTTTATGTAATTGGGTATTGGTGGTTGTTTTTGTTAACGTTTTCGTGCGTATTTTTGTTAGCTTAATGTTTAGTTGCTTTCGTTAAGGTAGCGGTGCTTTTTGTATTTGCTATTTGGGTGCTTGTAGCTTTATTAAAGGTAAGTAATTGTATTTAAAAGGTAATCGTGCCTTTTTTCGCCGGCGTAATGGCTCCGGGCGGGTTTGGGAAGGTTGCTTTTTCGCCGGTGCTTTTTTTTGCTTTGCTTGTTTTTTTCCCTTTTTTTTCCTTTTTTCCTTTTCCCTTTCCTTTTTTTTACCTTTTTTTTAACTTTTTTTTTTTGGTGCAATGCTTTTTTTTTTTAATCGCCACTTTTTTATTGCATTGCTTCCGGTTAATTTTTATTGTTTTAATTTTTTCCAACGCGCTTTTTATTTTCGGCGCTTAATTATACCTTTTTTTTTTCGTTTTCGGCCATTTCCAATTTTACTTTTAATTTTAATCGGTTGCAATGCTAATTAACGGCTTTCCCTAAAAAAAAAGTACGGTTAAAGCTAATTTTGCTAAACGCATTGGCCGCGGCGGTAACGGCGTTTGTAATAATGGTTGGGCGGCAATTATTGCTTTTCCTTTTTCCAATTCCGTTATTTTTAACGCTTTTTTTGCTTGGCCCGCTTTTTATGCTTTCCCGGTAAAAATGCCCAATAATAATAACGGCTTTTTTAGCGTTAGCAACAATAACGGCGGCAACGCGCGGGTTAACGCTAATTATATAATTCGTTTTTTTTTGTTTTTTCGTTGCCAAATTGTTTTCGTTTTTTTATTTTAACTTAATTTTTTTATTTAACGATATAAATTTATAACCTGCAAAGCAATAAATGCTTTAACGGAAATCTTTAAAAGCATTTTGCTTTACCATTAAATAACGTAAATATTTTTTTCGTTTTTTTCCCGTTTGCGCTTTAGCTAATTATTTAATTTTACGCGTAATATTTGCGTAAATTGCATTGGTTGTTTGTTTAATAATTTGGGTAAAAAGCAAAGCGGGAAAAAACGGTTTAGCAAAATTGCGGGTTATTATTTTAAAATTGGTTCGTTTTTTTTATAATTCCAAATAATTTTTTTATTTGCTAATTTACTGGTTTTTCCAAATACGAACGCATTATTTTATTGTTTTTATGCTAATTAAAACATTCGGTATAATACGGTAAGTTATTTTTTTTTTTTTTTCCGTTATTTGGCCAGGTTGCTAACGTATTTTTTTTTAGCTTTATCCCGTTGCTATTAAAAAAGCTCGTATTGCAACCGTACTTTTTGCTAAGTATTACCAATCGCTTTTTAAAGTTAAGGATATGCGCAACTTCGGGTTAAATAATTGCCGCAAATATTTAATAAATTGCTTTAATTTTATCGGTTTTTTATGCTTTATCGGTTCGCTAACGATATGGTACGGTATTAAGCGGCTTATAACGCATTGGTTGCTAAAATTTATACGTTCCGGCGTACCAATAAAAACGGGCTTAATAAATTCGAAATGCTTACCGGTGCTGGTTTTGCTTTTAACCGTTTCCGAATGCCTTTTTTTTTGGCGCCGGGGTTTTTATAAATGCCGGTATTGCTGGTTCGGAATTCGTACGGTCCCTTTCCGGTAACATAATATTAATGCTTTAAGCCTTTGCTTTTTACGCTTCGAAAACTTTTAACGCTTTATTGCGTACTAACAATGCTATGGAAATTGTTAATAATTTAAAAGTTAAAAAGCTTGCTTTTGCGCAAGCTTAGCAATTAGTAAGTGCCGGTTCCTTTTTGGTAGTAATATTATTTTCGTTGCTTTTGCATTTTTTAATTTATATAAGCAATTAAATATGGCGGTTATAAAGCAAAGTAATAATAAAAATAATTTAGCGTTTTTTAACCGGGTGCTAAAAATAGCGCGGAAAAGAATCCGTACGCGCTAAAATATGTAAAGCAATAATTTGTTCCCGAACTTGCTATTAAATGTTGCTGGGTATGGTTAAGCGTGTAATTATGGCTTTTTTATGTTGGGTTGGTAGTTAAAATAATTATATTTGGTTGTTAATTTGGCGTTGGGTTATTTATTTGGGGCGGTTCGTTTTTTTGGTATTTGCGTTTTTAATCGGTTATTTTTCCTTACCATTTTAAAATTGTTAAATTTGCTTGTCCTAATTGCCAAACGTGCTGCTAACAAAAAAAGGGGGGGCAAAAGGGGGCCGTTCTGGTTCGTATCGATTTCGGTAATAATGCTTGTTTTTTGCTGCCATCGTTTAAAATATACTTTGCGGTAGCTTATATTTTCCCAGCCCGAGCTTATTTTTCATTTAACATAAAAAAGGCATTTAGCAAATAAATAAAATGCTATTTCCCGTTGCCCGGTTTTACACGGGCAACGGGGCGTATGCACGTTAAAAACGTTTTTATTCCAAAAAAACGCTTTTAATCCCAATTTTTCCGTTTTTAATTGGATGGCCATTGCGCTTTAAGCTTTGGTAAATTTTTGGTATGCTTTTAATATTAAACCGTTAAAGCTAAATTTATTTGCGGGGGTTGCGGGCCGGAATGGGTTTGCTTTTATCGCTATAACGCGGATTTTTTTGCATTTAACGTTTTATTCGATTTTAAACCATTCCTTTCCTTTTTTTTTTTGCTTTTGGTTCGTTAATTTTTGTGCTTTGGCATTAGCTTTCGTTTTGGTTGCTTTTTAAATAGTTACCGGGGCGGGGCCAAGCTTGGGTTTAAAGGGTTCCAACGGGTCCCATTTTTGCGCTTACCGGTTTTTGCTTGCCAGGTTAAATAAATATAGTACCTTTATTTTTTTACAATATTTTAGCTATTGGAAATATTATTGCACTTTATTAGTACCGGTTCGGATTACATTTTTTATTCCAAATTTTTTCCATTTTTTTTTGCTTTTAATACCCTTTCGTTTAAGTACAAATTAATTGGGAAAGTAAAGCATTTAATTTCGAAATTGGTTAGCGAAATGGTTTTATAAATTTTGGCAATGGTTTTTAAATACGCGCGCTATTTTTTTTAAAATTGCTTAACGGCGTTTTTGGGGCGGCCCGTTGCCGATGTAATTATGTAGAAGGTTATTGCGCCGTATGCTAAAGCCGTGCGGCACATTACGTTGTAAAAAAGCTTTCTTTTTGCAAATGTATTGCTTTACGTTAACGAAATAAATTAAATAAATGCTAATTATTGCTTTTTTTGCTTGCTTTTTGCTTTTTTGTATATTTTTTGAAATTAAAGCGGGCGTTTAGCCAAACCCCGAAAAACCTGGCCGTTTGGCTGGAAGCTATTGCTATATCGCCAAATTAAATTACAAGCGAATCCTCGTTTTTGCTAAAATGAATTAGTTTGGTTTTGGTATTATTAAATTTTATACCGTATTTGGTTGCCCATGCTTTACATTTTAGCTAAATTGCTTTTAAAAAGCGGGCCGTATCCTTTGCGGTATTTTTTATTGTTAATAAATTGGTGTTATTAGCAAAGCCGGTAACGAAAATCCTTAAAATATTTTTAAAATTTTTATATAATAATGTAATGTATATAATAAAAAGTATAAAAAATAAAAAAAAGCTTTGGAAAATTTCGGTTTAAATTGGAATTGGGTTTGAAATATTGCCGTTAAATTGCAAAATGGCCGTTTTATTTGCTAACTATCTTTTTACCCATTTTACAATTGGTAAAAAAAAGCCGTATTTTTTTAGCGTATTTAGCAATTAAAAGTGGTTAACGGTATTAAATGCTCCGGATAGGTTAAATTGTAACAATAACGCGGTAACGCCGTGGTTCCATGCTGCAATTACCGCTTTTATTACTTTTTGGATTGCTAATTCCGTGCTTTTAACCCGTTGGTTGCCCATTTAACCATTGGGGAAAATGCTTTTTTTTTTCGCTTTATTGGCAATTTATTTTGCTATGGTTAATTTAATGGCTTTTAAAATTAATAACAATAAAGCGATAAACTTTTATCCCCCGGTTTGTTTCCTTTTTTCGGTAGTTTTATTTAATTTGGGTAATATTACCGTAAAGGCTTTTTTAAAGCGCTTTGGGAAATAGCTTGTAGCAATTTTTGCGTTAGCAAATTTCGCGATAACGGTTGCGCCCAGCAATCCAATAATTTTAAATAGCCCGTTTGGAAAATGGTTTTAGCCCGTAGCTTTTTACGGTTTAATGCGGCCCGTTATTTTTATAATATTTTGCGGGGTAACAAAAACGGGCATTTGGAAAGGGTTTGGGAAAAAGTGGTTTGGGAATTTGGTTTTGCTAATATTGGAAATGTTAGCTAACGGGTTTGGAAAAAATTTAAATAACAAAATTTCGGCTTTTTTTTAATAATTGCAAAGCGTATCCGGGTTTTTTCCGGTTTTAATTAAATTTAGTAACCAATCCGGGTTTTTTTTTTAAAAGCTTTTTAAGCGGGCTTATTTTTCGAATTTCCAAAATGCGCCGTTTTTTTTGGTATTTTATCCCGTTGCAAAAACAACGCTTTTTTAATGGTTGGACATTGTTTGGCGTTTTTTTTTAACAAATGCTTTATTCGCGGCTTTGTACGCTTTTTATATTGCTTGCATTTTATTTTTAATAAAAGCGCATTGCAAACGGTTCGTTTTTTTACGGAAATCGTTAAATTTTTGTATTTAATAAAGGGCGCGTTTATTAAAGGGGTTTGGTTTTCGTTAAAGGGCTAGCTGGTTAGCAAATTGGGTTAATTATTGCATTAATTTGTTAGCTTTTTTATTTATAGCTTTAGCGTTATGCATATTTCCGGTTATTATTAATTTATTAGCCATTTTGGCTTTGGCTTTTGCTAAATTTTTTGTTAGCTTAACGTTTTTTTATTTCCAGCTTTTAATTTATCGAAATTAAAATTGTTACGGTTTAAAAAAAACGCGAAATATTTAAAACAAATGGTTAAACTTTTTTATTATATTATTTTATTTTAAATATTTTATTTCGAATTGTTGCGTTACCTAAACGTAATTAATTATACTATTTTTTTTTTTCGTTTCCTTTTTGTAACTTTTCCGTAAAACGTTGCTAATTTAAATCGTTTGCGGCGTGCTAATTCCAAAAAGGTTTCGTTTTTTGCGTTATATTTATTGTATAAATCCTAAATTAAATAATAAAAGTTAAAATTGCTTGTAAGGATTGTATGCTTTTGGGTTAAATAAATAACGATTGTAATAAAGGGCGTTGCTTAATCGGGATTTGCTTTAGGATTTAAGGAATATATCGAATATATTTTTAATAAGCTTTCCAGCGTAATAATTGTAATTAAGGCCCAATTGTAACCGCACCGGGCAATTTACAATTTAAAAGCGAAACGGTTGTGCACGTAAAATGCTGCGTTAAAATTAAATCCTTAGTAATAAATAAGCTTGTAATTGTAACCGTACGGTTTCGAAAGGTTCCCGTGCTAATTGCGCTCCGGCTTTTAAATAGCTAAAATGTTGTATTATTTGTTGCTATAAAAGGGAAAATTGCCTTTCCTTTTGCTTTTTTCCATATTTTAATATAATATGTTTAATTTTATACGTTATTATTATCGTTAATTGGTTAACTAAAAATAAACGTAATTTCGGCTGCAAAAAAGCTAAACGGTGCTAGTATAAAGCCGAATTAAATTAGTTAAAATGCAAGCAATTAGGGTGGGGGTAAATTGGGGGAAAAGGAAAGGGCTTTATGGTTTGGCGCATTAACAAGGTTGGAATTGGTAACCGCGGTATTGCTGGGTACCGTTGGGTTATTAACGGCCCGGCATTTATTTATTCCCTTTGTTTCCGTTATTTTGTTAAAGCCGAAAGGGGCAAGGTTTGGGTTTTTAAAGTATTGGTTTATCCTAAAAGCGGATTTAAAAAAGCTTAACGTTTTTTTGTTGCGAAATTTTCGTAATTTGTTTATTTATTTTTTGGTTAAAAATTTTTTTTTTGCTTTCGTTATTTTTAGTAAAAAACCGTTCCGTTTGCGTTTTATTAGCAACTTTAAATTAAACAAATTATTTTTTTTTATAGCGGTTGGGGGGGGGGGGCCGGGTAAAGGGCGGATAAATGTAGAAAGCGGTAAAGTGTAAACGGCAAAATGGTTTATTTAATCCGGTTAAAATGCGCGTTCGTTTCCCGTTTCCAAAGCAAATTGTTTCGGCCGGTTTAAAAATGTATTTTTAGCCTTTTTAATTTTTTTTTTCGCTGCGGGGCATTTTCGTTAAAAAGCCGGGTAATTGCTTCCGTAATTGCAACATTTCGGTTTGCTTTTTTTTGCAACAAATTAACCCCCGTACAACGGGTATAAAAATTCCCCGGCTTTACCGTTGCTATGCAACGGCCCGGCGTAATGCGGGCAACGGGCCGCTTTTTTGCAAAATTTCGATTTATATTTTTACCCGTAGCATTTATAATATTAAGCAGTTTTTATTCCCGTTGCAAACGGTTTAACGTTAAAAATTTTGCTTTTAAATACGAAACCGTTATTGCATGCGGTTTAAACTGCGGCGAAAAATGTAATCCTAATTAATACCGTAACGTATCCTTTCGGTTGCTAAGCGTTTTATATATAAATGGAATTAATTTCGGCCCCGATATTATGCGCATTAAATTTATGTAATAAAATATTGTTATTATTGGTTGCGTTTTATTAAATGCTTTTAATTATAACGTTATAAATTTGGGTTCGGTATATTGCTTTGTTGCCGAATATTTTAATAACCCACGCGGTATTTTTCGTATATTTAGCAACGGTTATATGGAATAAAATTACCACGTTACCGTTAGGAAATTTGCGTATTGCTTTTACGTTATTGCCAAACTTTTTAATTAATATAATGGTAATTTTAACGGGTATGCGGTTTGCGATTTTAAAAAAAGCGTTTTTAATTAAAATAATAATTTCGCGTTTAATGCGCGCAAAAATATATTTCGGGGGGGGGGGGGGGGGGCCGGTATTGGGAAATGCGTAAAAGCGGATTGTAAGCGGGTAATTGCCGGTTTAACCGCTTTGCAATAAGCCGGTTGCTAAAACCAAAGCGTAATTAGTAATTTGCTTGCGGGCGTTGCGTATTTTAACAATAATTTCGTTTTTTATAATGCAAAAGTAATTAAGCATATGGTTGCAATGGTTGCAAAACCGCGTTTCGAACGCGTTTGTTACGGTTTTGGTTTATTTTTTTACGATTTTAAACATTAACTTGGTATTGCCGGGGGGTACAAAAGGTTTTAATGTTTTAATTAATTGGTTTTTTAAATTTGCAATGCGGGTGCGCGTTGGAAAAGGGTTAGGGGCGTTGGTTATGGTAATATTGTTGCTAATTTCGGGGCGGTTAGTAACCGCTCCGCCGCTTTCGGGGTTGCTAGCGCTGCTAACAACCGCGCCGTAAACGCGTTTGCGCGCGGATATACGTTCGGTAGCGAGCCAAAAGCGAAAAGTTTAAATTTAATGTTAAATTTGCTGTATTTAATGGCGTTTTCCCGTTGCAAAGTTGGGGAGGCAAAAGCGGTTTTTTTAATATTTTTATTATTATTTAAAAAAGACGTTTTCTGCTTGCGCGCAACAACAACGACGATATATAAAAAAATTAAAACCATTACGAAAACCGGAAACGCTAATTTGCTTAAAAGCTAAACGAGCTCGATAATACCCCGAAGCGCCGTTGCGGCGTCGATAAAAAAGGCCACTGGCTTTAACCAATCGAAATACGCAATACGCGACGGGAATTACCCGAACCAGCAATAATTACGATAAAAACCAACCGCAAGCCCGAAAAAAACCTAATTAATTATTGCAACAATACAATTTGCAAAAAAATATTTCCAATTGCTTAATAAAAAAAAAAAATTACGGCCGCCGAAATTATCGCGAAATTTGTTTAATACGTTAAAATAACCAATTAAACAACCGTAATTTTAACAATCCCAATAATTAACCCCAACGCAATCCAAATAATCCTTTAATTTTTTAAGCAAATTAAAACCATATTAAAAAAAAAGGATTAAATGCAATAAATTACGGCCGCAAACGGAAAAGGTGGAAAATAAATTTAAGCTTAAGTAACCGCAAAAGCGCAAACCGTTTCCAAAGCACCCCAAGCAATAAAAGCTAAAAAAGCAATAGCATTTACAATTAACAATAAAATCCTTATTATTACCGAAAATAAAAAAATTAAAAGAATAAAACCCGAAAAAATTAAGCAAATTTGCAATAAGGAATTGGGTAAAGGTTGGGTTAAAACGGTTTATTAATACCCGTTAAAAAACGTTCGTTTGTATTTCCGAAATGCTAATACCCGCTAACGAACGGAAAAAAAATGCCGGCCCGGGCCGGAAACGAACGATACAAACAAAAGTATAAAAAGGGTTACGAATAATTACGGTAACCTTACCGCAACGAACCGGTTACGAACGTAATTGTTAAGGGTTAATCGGTGCAAAAGCGGGTAGTTACCGGGTTACGGGCCGGATGCGGTGTTTCTTTTGTTAAACCTCCGTAAATCTTTTACTAAAGGTGCTATCGCCAATAAAAATTGTTCCTTTTTTAATTTCCTTTTTTTTCGTGCCCTTTCGGGCATTCGGGGTCGGTCCTTTAAATTTTCCGCGCTCCAAACGCTTTCGTACAATTTAAATTTTACTTTATTTTTTAATTTTGCCATTATATTTTAGCCGCAATACCGGTAATTTGCCGGCATATTTTTGGGGGGTTCGTGCCCGGTTGGTTATTAGCGCCCTTTTTTTCCTTTTTTGCCGGGCGGTTTTGCCCGTGCATTTAACGCTTCCCGCTTTTTACCGGGCGGTTTTGCCCGTGCTTTTAACATATTGCCCCTTTCCGATACGGCCTATTCCAAGCCGTTTGTGCCGCGCGTACGACCCCGTAAGTAACCGGTAACTTACGGTATCCCGTTAAGCCGCCCCAATGCTTAACAACGCTTGGGGAAACCGGTTATAAAGTTTTATGGCATTTGGAAAAATAAGTCCGTACCGGCATATAAAAAGCTTTTTTTCCCGCTCGAAGCTACGAGCTTTTTTTTTTCCTTTTTGTGCATTTAATAACCATTTTAACAATTTTAACGATTGTAACCGTAAGTAATCGGTATTTAGCCGTTCTTTTTAAATATTTAAACTTAACCGGTAATTGCAAATGTTATTTTTCGTACCCAATTACGTAAAAAAAATGGTATTCCTTTAAATGTTCGCTTTGGGTTTTTCGGTTCCAACCGGCCCGTTAGCCCTTTTTGGCAACCCCCCGGTATTTTTCCCAATTATTGTAATTTAATCGAATTTGGATTCGGTTTCGCCGGAACTTTTAATCCTTTAAATCCTTAACGATCGCTTTGCCGGTAACCTTTTGGTAAACCTTTTAAATATCGCGGGTTTATCGGGCCCTTTTGCGCTTGCAATTTTTTAAAACTTCCGCAAGCGTTTTGCCGGTAACCCCCCGGCGGGTTTTAACCGCCGCGGCAAAAAAACTTTCGCCGAAAAAAAGCGTAAAGCGCGCGATAAGCGCCGCCGCAACGTTTTTAATTCCAATAAACCTGCTTTTAAAACGGACATTGCTTCCTTTTCGCTTTATATGGGTATTTGCAACGCGCTCCCGTTGCAAAAAATTATCGATTTCCAATAAAATAATAATTAAAACCTTATTTATTTGCCTTTTTTTAAGGATAATTATACGGAACGTACGGTATTTTGTAGCCGCTATTTTGGTTATTAAGCATATTAAAATTATGCCGTTAACCCCCGTATACCGATATGCTTCGATAATTGTACGGGGTTTTCCAAATATATTTATTGCAAAAACGTGGTCGGCAATAAAGCTTGCGTTAAATTTTTTAAATGGTTTTAAAAAAGTGGCCCAAAACCT